TGAAGCACTGAACACAAACTCTATCGTTCGGCACACGATTGACACATAGTGCTCGATGCAGACACGTTTACGACGTTATTATAGTGTATCACGAACAAGAAAATAAAGGACACACAATATCAACAACATTTCACCTTGAAATACGGCTCTAGTTGTCCGAAAAAGCCAATATCAAGTGAGCAAACACCCAAAATAAAGGGGGTGTCGACTACTGGAACAGATGTCTTTTTCTGGCCCAGTAGTCGACACCACCGTTATTTACGCCCCTGACCGAAATTTTCGGAAAGCTCAATGCGGACAGATAATACATACATACCTTTAACATCAACGCAAACGTCCTCCGGAATCGCTCGGATGAAAGGCGGCTTCTCAGAACGTTCCGAACAAACACCTGTCCACTACTCCGGAGCTAAGAAATGATGGCTCGGTGTGACGCGACAAGCAGCGTTCTGCGCGAAGCGCTCCCTACCGGCTCCCGGTGGTCGCACAGACTCGGCGCCGGGTGCATACTAATCTCAATAGAGAGCGCTACAACCCGGCAAAACGCGCGAGACCCTAACTTTAACCAATTCGCGGGAAATCGAACGCAAAGTTGAAAGTGTCGACTACTGGTGTACTGTCGACTACTGGGCCCCTTACCCTACTTGACAGAGTTGGTGCGCAGTTGAATTTTCTTGGGATTAAACCCCACATTGCATTTCCTTGCTCTTTCAAGTAACTTGTTAAGGCAATGGCCATGTTCTTCTTTAATTCTTCCAGATACAATGATATCATCAAAATAGCACAGAACATTTTGAAGGTCTCCAAAGTATTTTGATACGGCTTGTTGAAAAATTTCTGGAGCAGCATTGAGGCCAAAAGGTAGACGTTTAAATTTGTAACAGCCAAATGGGGTGGAAAATACGCATACATTGCTACTTGCTTCATCTAACTTGCAATGCCAAAAACCATTTTTGAGGTCAAGTACAGTAAACACTGCTTTATCAGTCAGTTTAGTCTGTGTTGTAGATTTTACTTGAATTTACTACTTCTTGATTCGCTATGGAATCTTGACAGTTTCGAACTGAGCGTTCAGCGTAGGACTTGTCAAATAAAAGAGTTGTTCATGTCTGAAGTCTTTACTTGAACTGAAGTAGCAGGGAGTGAATTACATAGGAAAACTGTGAACTGCCAATAATGAATTAAGAGTGTGTGAATAAACTAATGCCAACTATAACAACTGCCCCCCTCTTGAATTGAATTTACATACAAACAATGAATTTTGAAGTGAAGTAGTAGCAATGTACATAAATCAAGGGAGGGGTTAATTAATAAAAGCAAAGCAAAAAGTCATACAATCAAAAGGCAGTTTGTAAAAAATACAAAACATAGTTGATAAGACAATCAGAGAAATGCAGCAATACAAATTGTAAAATATGTTTAACATATCAAAATAGTTAATTGAAATAGAGAAGTATTAACATGAACAAAATATTTTTTTATTAAAAAATACAAGTTAAAGAAAATGATTAAAAAAACAATCACAGTTTAACAAAGTAATCCCGGTAGCGGGAAGGCAAACCAGCATTGCGCTGAGGTCTGCTAGAACGTACAGCAGTTTGAAATAGCTTTCTCGGCGGCATTCTCTCCGCAGGAAGAAGTTGGATTGGAAGACGTCAGAATAGGAGTAGCTTTCGCAGGAGTTGCTGACGAAGATTGCACACTTGGAACTTGTGTTGCAAGCTCTCCCGGTGATGATGCCACAGGAGTAGAATTGTTGGCAGAATTTATCACGGGAACTGGAGTAGGATTTTGAACTAGGAAGTGTTCATTTTCTGGTATTTCAATAGCAGGTCGAGGTAAAGCCTTCAAGCTAATTGGGTCAGCCAGTGGATCTCGGTCAAACAGGTGCTCTGATGAGGTATGCCTTAGTCGACGGTTCAACTCGATGTCATAGGAGTTTTCACTCACTTTCTTCACAATGTTAGCAGGCTTGTAAATCATCTGTTGTTCTACCTCGACTCTGACCCAGACTTTATCACCAGGCTTAAATCTTCTTTCATTCTGATTAAGATTCTTGATCTTTTCTTGTTGAGACTGTATTCTGTTTGAGAGATGCGTCAGGGGATTTAATTCCGAGAGGAAACCTCTGGCCTTTCTCTTAAGAAACAGCTCAGACGGAGTGCAGCCTGTGGTAGTATGAGGAGTATTCGGATACGAGAACAGAAATCCACTGACTTGATGTGCAATAGTTCTCTTACTAGTCTCTGGATCAAGTAACTGCCTCATCAAAGTCTTCTTGACGTCCTTGCCATGTTTTCTGCTTGCCCATTGGACGCAGGATGAGTGACAGGGGAATGCAAAAGATGACATTGATTCTTCAGTAGAAATTGACTAAACTCTTGTGAATTAAATGGTGGACCGTTGTCGCAGACTAACTCGTTGGGTAAACCAAACAGAGCAAAAAGAGTTCTTAGATAGTCAATAACATCAGTGGCAGTAGCTTTCGTCATTGCTTCAACGAAAGGAAATTTGGAGTGATGATCCACTACTAATAAAAGTGAGACCAGACTTCTTGGCGAAATCTACAAAGAGTCTTCTCTAAGGTTGAGTAGACCAATTCCATGGTCGAACTTGAACATCTTTTCTCGCATTCTGCGTGACTTGACATACTCCACATTGCTTTACTAACTGCTCAATATCCTTGTCAATGTTTGGCCAATAAACATGGCTCTGAGCCAACTGCTTCATTCTTGTCTCTCCTGGATGCTCAGCATGGAGCAAATGTAAAATTTGCGGTTGCAAGGCATATGGTATTACCACTCTTGAGCCCCACAAAATGCATCCATTTTCCATAGAAAGCTCGAGATGTTTTCTCTTGAAAACTTCGTAAGCAGGATCTTGAGAAGACTCATCAGTCCATCCATATTGTACAAAAGCCGAAACTCTTGCCAGGATTGGATCTTTTGAGGTGTGAATCTTGATATCAGTAGCAGAAATAGGAATGTAATCAACAAATGAAATGTAATTCTCTTCACTTTCAATAGACCAGTTGTCTTCACAGGGAATTCGGCTCAGACAATCTGCATGAGGAATCTGACTTGATTTCTTCTGAACAAGAGTATACTGAAAGTTGGACATCATCAGGTACCCACGTTGGATACGGCCAATAGCAACAGAATTCCTTTGATACTTTGGACTAAGCAAAGCCATCAAACCTGCATTATCTGTAACCAACTCAAATGGCCGTCCACAGAGGAAGTGCTGAAACTTCTTGAGAGCCATAACCACGGCTGCAGCCTCCCTCTCTATCTGAGAGTATCCTTGCTCGGCAGAAGTAAAAGTCTTGGAAGCATAAGCAACTGGGCGCGGGCGCTCTTCCCCATTAGTCACATGGGCAATGACCGCACCTGCTCCAATAGGTGAGGCATCGGTGGTGAGCCGCAGTGGTAGGTTCAAAAAATAAGGAGTTAGCACAACAGTATTCAAAAGGTCGATGAGTGTAAGGTATGCAGCATTCTCCTTACCTGACCAATACCCGGTCTTACTCTTTTGCAGAGCGTGCAGGCTACTGGCCACATCTGACATCCTGGGTACAAACTTGTTGTAAAAGTTGACCATGCCTAAGAAGCATGCCAATTGCTCCTTGTTCCTTGGTAGGGTGAGGGGCCCAGTAGTCGACAGTTTAAGAGCAAGGCTTTTCAAAAGTGCCTACAACGGAGCGTGGGTGTACGGTAGCGTCAAGGAAAATTTTCGGGGGTGTAATAGACGGATTAAACTTAATGCCCCATAGGTCAAAAATGGAAATAAATACATTTTTGTACACAAAAATGTATAACAACAAGCTAGGCCCGCTCTTCCGCCAAACCAAGTTGCCAGCTCCGCTCCGCTCCACCGGCAACTCGGTTCGGCAGGGAGCGGGCCCAGCTTGGCCTGCCGGCGGCGTTTGGGACGGGCCTTCGGCCCTTCCCTTCCGAATTTTCATGGTGTAATACATCTTCTAACCGAAAACGGGCCTTTGGCC